AGATTTTACAAGCAATCGATTTCACTGGAAGAACACAAAGCTTTTTCCATTGTGTTCATCGTCTCAGGACTCGATATCTGTCTCTCTGAGGTAAAAAGTTACGACCTTTATGTTCCTGATCATCCATTTCCGCCTTTTTGAAGTGGGCTTGATCCAGTTCTCATTTTGCTGAATTGGGTATTTTGAAAAATTGCGATTTGGTTCCTTCTCTGCTGTGTAATCCAATCAGTAATTCAGTACCTAATTGTGATGATCAGACTTCTAAATTTTTTGATCTTGCTTTGTTTCCTCATTTATAGTTGAATATTCGAATATTGATTGAGTTTGATGTTCTGACTTCTGAGCACTGACTGTTGTCTGATATCTAACTGATTGTTCCAAATCTGGTTGGTCTCTAACAGGTTTTGTTTTCAGTTGTATTGATGGGCTCTGAAGGACCAACGGCTGTGACAATTAACATCACAGGCTTCAAGAAGTTCCATGGAGTTGCTGAAAACCCAACGGAGAAAATGGCTACAAACCTGAAAGACTATTTGGTGAAGAATAGTCTTTCGAAAGATGTGGTTCTTGGAAGCTGTACTGTGCTTGAGACCGCTGGTCAAGGAGCTCTCGCTTCGCTTTATCAGTTGTTACAATCATCGGTCAACACGAAAGGGTCAGAGGCAGTGACATGTGGAAAAACCATCTGGGTTAGTTAGTTAGTTAAGAAAAGTGATTTGAGTACCCGGTTTGATTCTCTATGCTGAAGAAACTCATTCTCATGTTTCTTTAGGTTCACTTTGGAGTTAATAGTGGCGCTACGAAATTTGCAATCGAGCAACAAGCTGTGAATGAAGCGACTTTTCGTTGCCCCGATGAATTGGGTTGGAAGCCTCAGGTTTTTGTTTCACTCTTCTTTCGCTTTTGTTTTTTAATTAGTTGTTTAGGTCTATATAACATTCTTGTGGTCTGCAGAATTTGCCAATTGTTCCCTCTGATGGTCCGATCTCAAATGTAAGAAAGGTATGGCAACATTGTCTCCTCGAGCTGTGTTTCTTAAACCTTGTGGTCTGCAGATTTTTTCCAATCTCTTCAGCAGCTTCATTGGTAGTTCTTATTTTCAATGTTGAATCCAAAAGTTGTGTATGATTTGTAGACTACTCTTCCGGTTGAGGTGATAACAAAAGCATTGGAGAAGAAGGGCTTTGAGGTGATACAATCAGATGATGCAGGTCGATTTGTATGCAACTATGTCTATTACCACTCTCTGAGATTTGCAGAACAGAATAAGACCAATTCACTCTTTGTTCACGTTCCTCTTTTCGTTGCTGTGGACGAGGAGACCCAGATGAGATTCACGGTTTCTCTGCTGGAGGTACTCGCTTCTATTTGCAAGTAATGTTATCCCAATGCGGCTAATTCTTGTTCATGAAAATGTGCGTCATGGACCGATTTGTCTCCCCACCAAAAATCGTCCATCAAAATAAATGGAATATAAGTTCACTTCTTTACTGTCTCCCCTATACGTATATCCATTGATCAAATGATATATGCCTACTATTCTCATGGTGCGAATTAATGAACTGAGAATTCGCAAAAGCCGAATGTCGGGACAATTACAAATCCATATTTGCAAAATTCTCTTTATGAATGGCATTTGCGGTCTTCATCTGTTTTACGTTCACAATAACTCTTCCTACTTGCAAAGTATATATATTTTGTTATATATGATACAAAGTAGATTGGACTTCGTTTAAGCCTATCACAACTGAATGTAGTGTGTATTCTTAAAAGTTGCAGACTTTCAGAACAATGGCTAACCTTTAGACTAATTTCTTTGATACGGACATCAAATCTACCCTTACATTTGTGTGTTCATATAAGTTCTGTATCTGATTCTGAGTTGGTGAACAGCTATGAACACATCTTCTGTTAGCAGTCTGGAAGTTCCTCAAGCAGGCAATAAACAGGTGGGACAGTGATCGTCTGCATGCTTCCATATGCATTCCAGCAGAACGGATTTTCCAAAAGCTGGCCTTTGGAAGGAAACAGCTCAACATCTTCTAGTCTCAGGTTAGTACATGGGACAGAGTCGCTACAACCAAAATGAATTGGTGGGCTTCTCAGGTCGTAAGTCCCTTTGATATTTGCATACAGAATATCGCTGATGATGACTGCGCTGGTTAGGTTAGCACAGTTCTTTGTCTGGCAGTAGTATTGGTCTATCATTATAGGGTTACGAACGTTCACCATCTCAATGTTACGGAACACGATTCTTGAAACCGAGCCTGACCCTCCTTGCCATGTCTTGATCCGAACACCATTGTCTGAGTTCCATATGGTTGAGTTTGTCACTGTTATGTTTGAGACACATGCACTCGAGTTATGGACTCCAAGGCTGCCTATGCTGCAACATTGTTTATAACACTTCAATTTAGAAGAAAACTGCCCCACAAAACTTTCTGAGAAACAAAGCCTAAAGAATCGATGAACCTTTAGACCCTGTTTTCGTTTTTGTTCAAAGCTTAGTCCAGTTAAAAAAATGTTTCGTAAAATTTGTAAAGTAGAGAGGATTGTGAGCTTAAAAGGCCAAGAATTTTAGTGTACTCTATAAGAGGCACATAGAGTTTGGCAGAGGAAAAGATGCAAACATTTAATGGGTACCTAATCCCATGGCTTGGACCGCATGTAACATTCTTAATATCCACATTAAAGCAGCCGGCTCCGATTGAAATACAATCATCTCCTGTTATAACCGAATCAAAAGAAACATATAAAACAATTCGGATTCCACGAACTTGTTGAGCAACTGCAGAAATGGGGGAAAATACCATTGGAAATCTCCGAATCGCGGATCTGAACGTTATGTGTGTTCTCAATGTGGATTCCATCAGTGTTTGGACTAGAAGCTGGTGCTTTGATAGTCACGGAATCTACAACCACGTCGCTGCAGTTGTCAAACCTTACATGGAATTGAGCACTGTTCTGGAAGCTAAGCCCTTCAATTCTCACTTTTGAGCTCTGAAATATCCTAATCGCCTGATCTCGAATCAAAAATGACATTGTGACCTAATTTTTACACTAAGTCTGACATATATTGTATAAATGTGATTTTGAAACAATGACTAACCACAGGACTGTCACAAGGACCGGGTTGAGTCGTTCCGTTAGGACCCTTGTGAGGTTTGCAAGGAAGGTTCCACCACTTCTGGCCACGACCATTGATAACACCAGAGCCTTGAATTGATAGTCCATCCACTCTGTAAAACATTATCCACTGCCTCTTGTAGTTCCACGGCCACGACCTCGGTCCATCAGGCGACACAATGATCCCATCGATCTATCAAGAAGACCAAAAACATATCCGTAACTATAAAACTCAAAAATATGTTTGTGAAATGGTAAAATCGAGTTCTACCATCTATGAAAAATTGATGTGGTTTTTTCTTGGACACTAAAGATGTTTTAAATAGTAGAATTATCCTGATTCATACAAGTCTTGAGATTAGTCTAAGTTTTGGCGCATGATCTACCAAAAGAAAAATATGGTTACGAAATCAGCTCACTTGTAATACAAGGTGGGTTCCGCAAGGACCATTAAAGCTGGTTGGCTTCACCAAGAAACAGAAAGTGCAAGGGACAAGAAGGAGGGCTGAGTCTACACCTGTGCTCATACATGCTGCGTCCCATGCCATCTTGAATGCTGACGTGTCGTCCGTCTCACAATCCCCGATGGCTCCAAACGAAGTCACGTCAAAGATGGTTAAGGCATTATCGCTATCACTATAATAAGCCGGACTTGGAGCTGGTGATGGGCTTAGATTCATGTTGTGAGCAACTCGAGACGATGAGAATAAGATCAAGAAAAATGCGTAGAAGAGTGAAGGGAACGACATTTTTTGTGTGTGTAGATGTGTTAGGAGATGAAGAATGATGAGCGAA